ACTGACTAATAAGCACGCAGGAGGATACTCAATATCATTAGTCCTTAGAGAAACGCAGACTTAAATCATAATGAAAGGCCAGTACACGGCCATTAGAATGACTACAACTTTTCAAACTGACCGTATGGACATCGGCAAGGAAGTGGGACAGCTGGAACTTTACCCCACTGCTGGCCAGGATGGAAAACAGCACAGAACAATTGCAGAACAGGTTGGCAGTTTCTTGTAAAGGTAAACAGAGAACTGCTTGACAGCTCCGAAGTCCCACCTAGATATGCACCCAGGATGTATCTGCGAGGAGAGGTGCTCACCCAGGGACTTGTAAGGAATGTTCACAGCAACTTTACTCACAACAGCCCCAGACTGAACGTGACCCAAATGCCGACTCACTGGCTGGCGGGTTAGCACTCTGTGGTACCACTACATACTGGCACTTCCTCGGCAGTACAAAGAAACAAACTGCTGTCACACACTAAACACGGGTGAACATCAAGATCAGCGTGCCGGGTGGAGGAAGCCCCACACTCTACGTGTTCTTTCGTTTACCAAAAATGTCGGAAAATTAAAAATCATAGTGACAGGCGGCAGATCGGTAGTTGGGGGCTGGAGGCTGAGAGGGTGGGGGGAGGATTTGCTTCAAAGGGACTTGGAAACCTTCGGGGGTGACAGAAATGCTCCGTGTTTCAGCCTGGTGGAGGTCACCCATCTGTACACATTTGCAAAACTCGTCACATTTTACACCCCAAACTGGTGCATGCTGTTGCGTGTAAACTGTACCTAAGTGAGGCCTATTTAACAACAACCAAAATTCAGGCTTCTTTTAAGACCTAAGACCACCCCAAGACTGGCCTCGTGGTCAGCAGAGGCGGAGGGGCCTCATCACACCGAAGTAGAGACAAGCGACAGCCAGAGAAGTTGAGCCAGGCAGGAGAGAGCGCATTTAGCACTTAAAGTATCAGTGGTTTTTTATTTGAAAGGAGTTTAATACCATACACTTGAAAGAGTTTACTGCTTTTTGTCCAGTAAATATGTAGGTGATACATTGGATTGGCCAAAAAGTTCATTTGGTTTTTTCCCTGCAATGGCTCTAGTAGTGCTTAGTTGTCTTTAACTTCATTCAAAACACTTTTGTTAGATTGTATTGTGACAGCTGTCACATCAGTGTGCATTTAAAAAACTTATCAAAATTGGTGAGCTTTTGTGCAGCCATTTCAATATTGAAGATGGAATGAAATAAGCAACATTTTTTAATGTTTTTAATGCTTTATTATTTCAAAAAAGGTAAAAACAACTGAAATACAAAACAAATATTTGTGCAGTGTATGGAGAAGGTGCTGTGACTACTCAAATGCGTCAAAGGTGGTTCACAAAGTTTCCTGGTACTGTTGCTATTTTGGCCAAGTAATTCTCTGCCGTGGGACCGTCTTATGCATGGGAAGATGTTCGGCAGCACCCTTGGGCTCTCTCCACTGGAAACCAATAGCTGAAGATAGCTGACATACTCAAAATATCCAAATCAATAAAGTTATTGGAGAAAATTTTAAAATGTATTTTATTTTAGGGGAAAAAATGACAGACTTTTTGGCCAACCCAATAGTATTTGTCCATCAGAGATTGCTCATTAGAGATCTATAAAGAAGTCACAGACTTTGTCTGGGGAATACATCACTTAAGGATGCCTTTGTTACTTGGTATTTTTGACATTAGAACCTGATGTGAAGTTCTGCTGATTAGGGATGGACTTCATTCCTCATCTGTAGTGATATTTTCCATCTAGACCTCCTGGGGCCCACCGCTGTAGGCAGGGTCTTTGCAATAGTCCTGGCATTTCCCTTAGTGCTCCACACATATTAAGTGCATCTTATTGTTCTTATAATGGCCCTCTGTACTTTGTTTCTTGCCACTAAAAACTCTTCACAGAAAAAAACCATCACAAGTCAAGTTCGTGACTAAGGATTAGGCAAAGATTAAATAGAAAACCCAACTCATATGTTTCCTAAAACTGTCTAGCAAATAGCAAGTTGTCAGTATATATTGGTCAAATAAATACATAGATGAAAACGGGTTTCTTTTTAAGATTTTATTTATTTTTAGAGAGAGGGGGAGGGAGGGAGAACGAGAGGGAGAGAAACATCAGTGTGAGAGAAGAACATGGATTGGTTGCTTCTGGCAGGAGTCCTGACCTGAGGGCCAAACCCAAACCCACAACTCCGACCAGAGATCTAACCCAAGACCCAGGCATGTGCCCTGACCAAGGATTGAACCAGCCACCTTTCACTCTTCGGGACCAAGCCCAAGCAACTCAGCCACACCAGTCAGGGCTAAATGAAAACTGGTTTAAATAAAAGGAAGCTGTTAATTGGCTTCAGGTGACTCAAATGATATCATCAAGAATGGGGGTGGGGTCTTGCCCTCTCTCTGCTCCCATCTGGACGGTGTCAGTGGAAGGCTTCCCACGACCCTCGGCCATTCTGCTAAAAGCCTCCCTACTAATCCCTGGACTGTTACGTAAAAAGGAGTCTCCCTCGAAGTAGCCATGGAAAACACAGCCACTTCTCTTTCTCAGGAATGCCAGAAAAAGTCTCCTTGCTTTACACTGCTCTAATTTGATTCAGAGACAAGCCTAGACAATGGCCATGGATATATACGGATTGTCTTCAAACCTTCTAGAACCTTTTCTTTCTTCCTTCTTTTCATTCTCTCTCTCTCTCTTTTCCTTCCTTCAGAACCTACTGTTCATGTTAGAGAGTGAGGTACTTCCTAGAGACACAGAACGGGTGCTTGGTGGTAAGAAATGAGAACTGCCACAGGAATTTCAAGGTCCAGTGGAGAGTTCCAGGAAGGTGCCAGCTTTCAGTAAACAGTGAAGAAGCTGAGTTGTGGTTTGGTTTTGTTTTTTTCCTTAGATCAGGTTAAAAAGGAAAAAACATAACACTGTGTGCCCTGCCCCCACGCCACTTTTGAGGACTTTGAACATATGAAAATCATATAAAAGCCTTTCTTTACAGTTTTCCTTATGACTCAGACAGTAAGATTACATATAAAGATGCAAGGTTGTGGGGGAGAAAAACAAATTTCTAGGTACATTATTGAATTATGGTGGTAAACATACTGTCTTCATAAGGATTAAAAAACATGGAAAATACAAAATCATTAGATGTGGTATTTGGGTTGTACAGGGATTAATTAAAAGCAATTTGAAATTTGTTTCCCCCAAATATCACAATGCTTGTATAATCATGAGAACAAATCAGAACAGCCTGCCGTCGGTTGGAGTAAACACTGGGGCTGGGACTCAGGTGACGTTTTCTTGGTGAAGTGACTCAAGGTCTCCGAACTCCAGTTTCCTCATATGTAAAACAGAGTTCATAATAATAGCACCGCCTCTCAGCTATTGTGAGGATGGAATGAAGAATTCCATGTAGTATGTAGCAGACGGTACCTGGTGCGTGGGGACCACCCACCATGCCCTGGCCACGAGGAAGAGGATGCAGGGGAGGACCCGGCTGGCTGTGATGAGGCAGAGCTGGCATCAGATTTTTCCAACAGCTTAATTGAGGTATGACTGACATACAATAAAGAGCACATGATTAAACCTCACAATTTGAAGAGTTTTGACATGTGTGTGCACACCAGAAACCAGCACCACTGAAAGATAAGAAACATATCTCTCACTCCCAAAAGTTGCTTATTCCCTTTGGTAACCAACCTCTCCTTATTACCTCTGCACCAACACCTGTCCCAGGTAACCATTACTCTGCTTTGGGGCGCTGTAGATTAGTTTGCATTTCCTAGAATGTCATAGAAATGGAATCATACACATTATGTACTCTTTTTGGGGGGTTGTACTTCTTTCATTCAGCTTTTTTAAAATCATTCTGCATGTATCAATAGCTCATTCTTTTTCATTGCTGAGTCATACTCCATTGTATGAATATGTCCTCACCCATGAACATGTGGGTTGTCTAATGTTGGGTTGGAACAAATAGAGTTGCTATGAGCTTTTACTTACATCTTCAATTGGCAAGTTGTAATGTAAATATAGATAGTTACAAGAAACTTCTGGGCAGTAAATGTAGCATTTCGAGTGTGGAACTCCCCTGAAAAGGCGTGGAGGGCTGGGGGTCAATATCAGAAGACTCTCACATGTCTACCCACTTTCTCAAGCTCCTGCTCAGATCTTGGAGATCTGGGGTGGTATTTCAATGGGGTGGCCCATCCCTGCTTAGAGACACCTTCTCCCCATGACAGGGGTTCCCATACCTAGGTGGACATCATAATTCCCTGGGTCTCACCTAAGACCTACTACTCAGAATATTGCTTGGTGGGGCCACAGAATCTGTGTTTTCTAAAGTCCCTCGGGTGATTCTGCCATGCAGACAGGCATAGAAACTACCTACCTACTGGAGCCAGTTTAACCCCCAGGCAAAGCACTCTGACCCCTCTGCCATCTGGAACCAGGGCCCCAGTGCAGCCTCGCACCTCGCCCTTCACCCCAAACATGCAGCCTCATGAAACTGCTCCACAGTCCCCAGACACGCTCCGGCTCTTTCACTCAAGTTCATCTCTCTACCTTCTCCTTCCCTACCAAGAGAACTTCCACACGTCCTTCCAGGCCCAGAAGAAGCCACTTCCCTCAGGAAGCCCTCCACACTCTCCCTCCACTCAGCCAGGCAGAACTCTTGTCTCTTTCCTGTGAGTCTCCCTGCTCCTCCTGCTGCCTCTACCAGAGCACCTGCCACTCTGCCCAGTCGTGACCCAGTAACGCCTGTGCCAGACAGTCTGACCAGCGGCCTGTGGAAGCCTCCCAAGAATCCTCTGAGGTGGGTGAAGACGGTGATGGTAGCAAAGATGGACTAGGTGACACGCCTGCAAGAAACCTCTGCACCTGGGCTGCTGGGCCCCTGAATCCTCCCAACAGCTGGTGCGGTGGGGACTGTCCTTACCAGGTCCATCTGACAGATGAGGAAACTGAGGCCCAGAGGGGCAAATTCACTTACCTCAGTCACACTGACAGTGGCAGAGCTGGGAGTAACCAGGCATGGCTCCAGATACCGTGGTCTTACCCACTGCACTTTGGGCCTTTTGCAGATGAAGACACTGAAGTGCAGGGGACTCTCTGCCCAGGCTGACCATTCTCATTGTCTAATATGTACCTAGGAGCCTCTGATCCCCCAGCTCCACACTCCACATGGCTCTGGTTCCAACCTCCATCTAAGCAATCCTCAGGCCAAGCCCCTGTACTTTTTCCTTGGCCCTAGGACCTGGACCATTTCCAATTCTTGGCTATTACAAATAGAGTTGCTATGAATATTCATGTACAAGCTTTTGTAATGCTTTCATTTCTCTTGGGTAAATAATTAGGAGAGAAATGCCTGGGTCACAACACAGGTCACATTTCACTTTTTACCAAACTGCCGGACTGTTCTTCCGAAGTGGTGATACATTCAAACCTCCCACCGGCAGCCTGAGCGTTCCAGCTGCTCACCATCTTCACCAAATGCCTGGTGTGGTCAACTCGTCGTCATTTTGTGCATCCTGATGGAGCTGTGGCAGTAACGTCTCATGGCTTGAATTTGCGTTTCCCTAGTAACTATGATACCGGGGCTTTTTTACGTCTAGTAGCATCCATTTATTCTCTTTGGTGAAGCATCTGCTCAAATCGTTGTTCATGTTCTAATTTGGCTGTTTGTTCACTTTAGTGCTGACTCGTAAGATTTTTATGTAAATTTTGCAAACAGGTCCCTTGTTAAATAGGTCATCTTTTTTTCTCCCAGTCTGTAGCTGTCTTTCCATTTTTTTCACAACGTCTTTCTACGAGTAGTAAATTTTAATTCTGGTTAAGTCAAATTGATCTATTTTTGTGGACTGTGCCAATTGACCTTAGCAATATTTTATCATTTTCGGTGTATAGACCTTAAATATATTTTGTCAGATTTACCCCTAAATATTTCATATTTCTGATGACACTGAGATGTTTTAAAATTTCATTGTTAGAATGTTTGTTGCTAGTGTATAGAAACATAATTGAGTTTTGTATATTGATCTCCCTAAACTCAACTTATGAGTTCTGCTATCTTTTTTTGTAGATACCATAGGATTTTCTAGACAGGCAATCATGCTGTAAATATGGTTTCACTTCTTTCTTTCCTATCTTATTTGCCTTTTATTGTTGTTGGTTTTTTTGCTTTATTATGCAAACAGCTATTTGACTCTCGAAGTTGTACCACAATTTACTAAACAACTGGGTTTTTTTCCTCTTGTTTCTTTTTGCATAGTTTCTATAACTGTGTTTTCCAGTTCACTAATCTTCTTTTCTGCAATATCGAATCTACCATTATTTCCATTCACTCTATTTTCTATCTGAGACATTGCAGTCTCCATCTCTAGAAGTTTTCTATTTGGATCTTATTAAAGTTTACAATGAAAAGTACCATTTTTTTGCCTTTTTTGTCTTAGCAATTTCTACATAGCACTCTCTCGCTGCACAGATGCAGTGCATCCATTTTGGGGTTGCCGCCTGTTGACTCTGCCATGGTTCAGTGGGTGTCTACCTCCTCATTAAAGTGGTACTTCCTGCTTCCTTCGGTGTCTAGTAGTGATTGATTAGGCCAGACACTGTGAATTTTACCTTTTTGAGTTCTGTATACTTTTGTATTTCCATAAATAACCTTGAGTTTTGTGCTGGATTTAATTAAATTACTTGGAAGCAGTTTGATCTTTTTCTTAGGTGGGGCCAAAGCTGCATTTAGCTCAGGATGACTTGTCCCCAGCCCTCAGCCGAGACCCTTCTGAGTGTGCTAACCGCTGCCCTGGAGTTCTGAGACTCATGACCCTGGCTCTCAGGCTTTCAGGAATAAGCTCCCTTTCCCAGCCCCGTGTGAGTGCTGTGCATGAATCCCTATTATCTTCTTGAGTGGTTCTTCTTCCACACTCAAGTTGATTAATACAATTTCTAGTTGACTAATACACAACTAAATAGTGGAGAGGGGTCTCCACTGCAGTTCTTCAGAGCTCTCTCTCCTTCAAACTCTAGCCTCTTGGGCCTCCCCAAGACTTTTAGCAGTTCCCTTAGCTCAGGGAGACGGCCAGGCTCTACTGAATGTCCCTATTCCTGTGCCGCAGTCGAGAACTTCCTCCGAGCGGTGAGTTCAGTCAATTGTAGGGATTCGCCTATTTCTTCCCTTCTCTCAGTGATCACTGTTTGCGTGGTACGATGTCATGAGTGCCACATTTTTGTTTTTTGTTTTTAAGTGTTTCAGATGGGAAGTAAATCTAATTTCTGTTACTCCATCTTCACCAGAAGCAGAAGTTCCTGTCATCAGAGCTGGCACTGGAATTGATCGGGAAATGTCAGGGTTGGCTCTGAGCTGGATCTGGGAGCCTTTCCTCCCTTACACCAGGCGGCACGCCAGGCCCCAGGGAAGGACTGATTCCATTGTGCTCTCAGCCTCTCAAACGCTGCGTGCCAGCCAGCCAGGGCAGTGGCCAGGAAGAGGTGGTCACAAGTGTATTCCATGGGAAAACAGAGCTGGGGTATCTCGTTATAACTTTGTCAACAAAATGATTCCTCTCTGAGATGCCAATGCCTTCGCCTCCCCCAGCCGTCCTAGCTGGAGCCTCTGATAGCTCTGACCTCTTCTCCAGTGACTGACCTCACCTGTCCAGGGTGAAACAGGGATTAGCACCTGCGCCCTTCCAGCTGGCATCATTACCTAACGACAAGAGCAAAAGCTTCCATTTTTGATCAGTTGCCATTTTCCAGACCCTGGGCTACTTAATAAGAATCTGAGGTGGGGGCTGGGGAGGGGAGGTAAAGTGACTCTCTGAGGTCACACAGCTAAGAAGGGGCAGAATCAGGATTTAGCACCTGCCTTCAGAGACCTGGTGTCTTGCCTGCCAGGAATGAGCCCTGAGAACTTTCTTATGTTCTGGGTCCCATCTTTCATTTTGGCCTGGGCTCCTGTTTCTCGTTCTGACTTGTGTCTGCCTCTGGGCCTAAAGCCCTCTCCAGAATCTGCCTAGTTGTGGGTGATGGCATGATGGGTGAGACACGCACAGGCTTTGTAATTAAACAGACTTAAGTTCAAGTCCTCCTTTCTAACTGTGCTGCCTTGAGGGATTCACTTCCTCTGGCTGATCCACAGCATCACTTGTACAAAATGGAGTGATGATGTTACTTCCCAGGACTGATGTGAGGATTCAACGAGATATCTATTAGTGCTTACTGGACACGGGTGTTCATACATGATAACAATGTAAATTCAGAACCAGCTCAGAATGGTCTTATCCTGTTTAACAAGATACTGGGCTGCTTTTCAGAGACAGCAAACTAAACCTGCAAGCTATGCAGCCAATGCATGAGCAGAGGACAACACTTTGATCTCCAGCGGCACCAGCCCTGGCCCCTCCCCCCCAGAACCAAAGGACTGGGACAAAGCCAGAGCTTGAACCCCAGCTCCCTTTCAGAAGCCCAGGGCTCACTTGTTGTCTGAGAAGACCTGGTGTTGGTACTCCTTTACCATAAATGGCCAAATTCCAAGGTCCTCCACGTAAAACTGACCCCACCGGTACTTCTGCATACCTGTTCCTCCTAGCCCCTTAGGGAAACACCCAACCCCAGCTCTGTGCAGTCATTCTGTCCCACCTAAGTGGGGTGGGGGCAGGGACCGAGAAACCCCTGTGAAGTCCACAGTTCTGGGATGCCGGTTCACTGAAACACTGAGACAGAATCGGAGGGCTATGGAGCACTTCCTATCCCCCACACCTTCACCAGCACATCACGAAGGTCCATTTAAGAAGTTCCTTCTACCCGGTGCATCATGCCCAGCTTTCAACAACAGCAACAACAACAAATCACAGGGCATAGCAAAGAACAAACACAATTTGAGCAAGCACAGAATCAGGCGGGGATGTTGGGATGCCCAGACTGGGAATTTTAAACAACTATGATTAAAATGCTAAAGGCTCTAATGGAAAAAGTGGACGACATGCAAGAACAGGGGAGCCGTGTGAGCAGAAATGACATTTCTAAGATCAAAAAGAAATGCCATAGATAAAAATGCCTATGGAAATAAAAATGCCTTTGCTGGGCTCTTGCGTAGATTGGACGTGGCTTAGGAAAGAATCTCTGAGCTTGAGGATATCTCAGTAGGAACTTTTAGAACTGAAAAGCAAAGAGAAAAAAGACCCCAAAAAAGGGGGCGGACAAAGCGGCCTAGAACTGTGAAACAACTACAAAAAGTATAACCTGCATACTTACTGTGAGTGCCTGAGAGAAGAAGCAAAGGGGACAGAAGCAATATTTGAGGGAGTAACCACTGAGAATTTCAGCCACATTAATGTCAGACACCACACCTTAGATCAGAGAACATCAAGCAGGAGAAAAAAGGAAAAAAAGCTCCACCTACACATACTGTATTCACTACAAATCATCAAAGATAAAGAAAAGTCTTGAAAGAAGCCGGAGAAAACAAACACCTTATCTACAGGGGAGCAAAGATAAGAATTACATCTGACTTTTCTTCAGAAACCATGTAAGCAAGAAGAGAATGAAGTGAAATATTTGAAATGCTTAGAGGAAAACCCCACAGACTAGAATTCTGTATCCTGCAAAATGTCCTTCAAAGTGAAGGAGCACTGAAGACTACCTCAGATAAACAAGAATTGAGAGAATGCGTTGCCAGTAGACCTGTCTTGCAAGAAATGTCAAAAGAATTTCAGAGAGGAGGAAGATGATGCAGGTCAGAAACTCAGATCTGCATCTGAAAAGGAAGAGTATTGGAAAAGGAATAAGTGAAGGGAAAATAAAAATTCTAAGTCCTTTTTAATTGGTCTGAATAGGTAGGTTTTGTTCAAAATGACAGCAACAATGTATTTGATGAGCGTGCCTTATGTGTAAGTGAAATGAATGACAGCAATGATAAAGAGGATGAGAAGGAAGAATCAGAAATATTAGTGTAAGGTATTGCACTACTCTGAAGCAGAATAGTGTTAGTTGAACATGGACTTGGATGAGTTGTAAATGCATATTGCAAACTCTAGGGCAAGCACTAAAAAAAAGTTGTGAAAAGAGTATAATTGATAAGCTAAGAAAGGAGAGAAAATGGAATCTTATCAAATCCTCAGGTAAAACCACAAAAAGTGAAAAAGTAGAAGATGAGACTAGAAACAAAGAAAGGGGCAATGAATTTAAAAAGTATTAAGTATGGTAGATATTTATCCAACTATATCAATAATCACTTT